CTGGTCGTAGATGGAGCGCATGTTAGAGTAGGACGCGCTTGGGTGTCGGAGAAGTGGCGGAACCAGAAGTAGTGGTTTGTGAGCACGAGAGCTATGGAAGGGTCAGCCTATGCGACATGCCGCCAGAGGTCCAGAGAGACAACCTACCGCATGAAGTGAGGAACAGCGGGTCAGTGAGCTGAACGTAAGGGAAGCGACGCATGTTGCCAAGGTAGACGATGTGCGAGAAGATGGACAGAAGCGTCAGCTTGAACGAGAGCCCGTCCACAGCCCATAGTAGAAGCTGGAGAACGACAATAATGTAAATCAGTTGCGTCAACAGGCGCTTGGCGAGCACCGTGTGTTCCTCGACGAGCTCGGACAGGTAGTAGAGACCCGACGCTACACCATCGCACGTCAGTCGCAAGTCCTCAAATCCAGGGGGTCGCGTCGGCGCGCGATCACAAGTGGGCCGTACCGATTGCCAAGGTCAGGAAGCAGAAGCCCACGATGGAGCCAATAACCCCGAGAATAGGAAGAATCCACATGATATCGGTTTCAAAACAACGTCTCCCGATCTTCTTGAAGCGTATGTGTAAAGAATGAAAAGAGCGACAGCTATCACGTCAGGGGAAGGGCAGGCAGTGCTGGCATGTTGGTCGCCCCGAAATTTAGAGCGTGTCCTCCTGCAGCGAATGGCTGCCCCTTGACGCTTAGCTAAGGCTGAGGTGGACACCCTGGCTCAATCAAGCCTGATGCTGCCGTTTCCCCTTGACTCTGGCTTTGACATTTGGGCAACACCCCGCCAAATTCTTATCGATAGCTATCCGCACCGAAAATCTTCAATTTCTGGAATCCGCGTTTCGACGAGACGACGACATCAACAAGCGACGACGACAGCGCGACGTGGGAAAGCCTGGCCTCTAGTCATCGCAAAGAACCGCACCAATATCTCTCATTCGGTACTCGACTCACGCATTACGACCATCCGAACCGCCATCATGTCGCGCCCCGAAGATACCCTGTCAGTTACACCACCAACCAACCCCGCTACCATCGTGAAGCCTTCCCCAAGCTAACGCCTTCTCCAGCGCGGCCGACATTCACTACAACGATACGGAAGCGCGCAAATATACGACGTCGTCCCGTATCCAGAACATCCAGGCGTCCATGACTCGTCGCGCCCTCGAGCTCCTCGACCTCCAATCCCCCTCCCTCATCCTCGACGTCGGCTGCGGCAGCGGTCTCTCCGGCGAGATCCTCACCGCCGAACTCCCCGAGCACGGCGGGCCGCACACGTGGATCGGCATGGACGTGTCGCCGTCCATGCTCGACATTGCCCTGCAGCGAGACGTCGAAGGCGACCTCATGCTGGCCGACATTGGCCAGGGCGTGCCCTTCCGCGCCGGCTCCTTCGACGCCGCCATCAGCATCTCGGCCATCCAGTGGCTCTGCAACGCCGAGAGCAGCGACACGTCGCCCGTCGGCCGCCTGACGCGCTTCTTCAACGGGCTCTACGCCTCGCTGCGCAGGGGCGGCAAGGCCGTGTGCCAGTTCTACCCCAAGAACGACACGCAGAGGAAACATGATCACGCAGGCCGCCGTCAAGGCCGGCTTCGGCGCCGGTATCCTGGAGGACGACCCCGAGACCAAGAACGTCAAGCTGTACCTCGTCCTGACGGTGGGCGGCGGCGGTGCTGGTGGCGGTGCCGGCGACATCACAGGCGTCGTCGACGGCATGGACAATGTCGACGTCCAGGACGAGAGGAGGAAGGCCGAGAAGACGGGCAAGGGCGAGATCAAGAAGGGCAGTAAGGCCTGGATCGTGCACAAGAAGGAGCAGATGGAGCGCAAGGGCAAGGTTGTCAAGTCGACGTCCAAGTATACCGGTCGCCAACGGCGCGTTGCCTTTTAGCTTTCCTCACCCACACATATTTGCATGGCACGGCGTTTAGGCTTTTGGGACTTCAATCACGTATTGTTCAATGAAATCGATACCCTCACCAGTGCTGCTCTCTCGCAGAGAGATGCTTCCATTATTTCGTCGTCAGAGACACGTGAATGACACATGCAGAGGCGAATATCGGGGCCTGGATCACTGGAAGTGCACGTGCCGCGGATCATTCATAAACTGCTCCTGCATCGAGCATAGTCTTCAATTGAGACACAAATCAACGGCCAGCACATAGAGCATCTATTTTTGAGAATTAACCTCCAGATCATAACGATAAGCAAGCAGAAAGTCCCTCACAAGTGTCATCAGTCGGAAAGAAGTATCATTACGCTGTACAATCCTTCAGCCCAAGCCTCTTCATCGACATGCATCATCCCGCACAGCAACCAGGTCGCTATCCCGACCTTTCGCAATCCTACGGTTAGGTCGTATCAAGTTAGACGCCAATCATACACATCGAACGGTCTGTTGCAGCAGAATCTGCCCCAGACGTCCTCTTTCTAACACACGGCCGTTAGGTCGGTCACCTCTTGGGCCAACAAGGCGACGCAGTCATCACGTCCACCAGGTAGCCTGTTAGCTCTTCCGACCAATAGCAAATATCAAGATCAGGCCATGCGTCTGCATTTCCCCTCACGAGGCATCATCGAGGCAAATTCCAGTCAGGCAGCCAGACAGGAGGTCACACCAGCCTGGTCTTGAACCAACCAGGCGGTGGTGGGCCTCCCAACGTATAACCACCCCCCCCCCCCGACGTTGCCTCCATTATAAAGTCCCAAAATGCCGCCAGCGGCCTGTTGAATAGACGAAGCCACTCGCAACCAGACATTCCGACGACTCGCTCCTTCAGACCGCGACACGAAATCCATCAGCCAAGGATACTCATCACCCGAACCCAAGCCAAGCCCCGTCAAAAGAATGCGCCCAACAAAGATTGTCCAGCTTGCCGCCCTGGCTGTCGTCCCCGCCTCTGCCGGTCTCGTGGCCTACGGCATCTGTCAGGCCGGCTGCGCCAGCGTCGTCACAGCCTGCTACGGGGCCGCAGGCTTCACCTGGGGTGCCACACTTGGCGCCACAGCTCCGGCGTCGGTGCTGGCCTGCAATGCCGCCTTTGGCACCTGCTGCGCTGCCTGTGCCGCCGTGGCTTTGACGCCTACGCCTTGAGGGTGTAAACAAATCATTCGATCTTTCTTTCGAAGGGCAGGAAGTTTAGCTCGGAGGGATTATATGGCATATTCGTGTCTTCTGTCTGTTTAGGAGCTTGGAAGCTAGGAAGGCTGTGGCTTAGGCTGTTATATAGCACAATGATACCAAGAGGTGCACAGCTTCGGAAAGAACGCGCGTGAAAGCTCGATCCTGCCATGAGCTTGTATTCCTGCTGGCATTACACAAACAGAATCGTACGCGGTCACAATTTCGTATGGGTGTAGGGCTATTAACTCCTCCGTGGACGAAGCTAACTCTCATTAGTACTTAACGGAACGCGGCCAGGGGTATCAACAGAAAACAAAGAAAAACATTCCGCAATCATATGTCGTTCGTTAGAAAAGCCGCGCTCAGACAAGATGAAGGTCCACAACATTCGCACCCGCCGCTCTCAGATTCTCAGGCGTAAGCAGTTCTTCTACAGACCCTCCCTGTGTCTTCTCACACGCTGCTGACGTCGCTGCAGCCCTGACCTTCTCGAGCCTAGGATCATGCGCCGTCTTGAAGGCCCCGTTACCCAGGCCCATGATAAATATGGGCCGAGTTGGCTCATCAGGATCGTCGCTGTCCATGACCATCTTGCACTCATTTGGCAAAGGACCGAGGAGAGCCTCGCCGCTCATGAGCCCGTGGACATAGCTGTCGCCAACAACCTCAAATCCGGGCTCGCCAGGGAGGGTAGCCCTGTCACCGCCGGAGTGGCGATCCCGAAGAATAAGGGGCACGTCACAACCTAGAACAACGTAGACTTTGTCGCCTGGCTTTGTGTACTTTGGTCCGAGGCCAATGTAACCTTCCTGGGTAGTGAAGAAGGATCTACCCTTGCAGGTAGCGATCAACTGCGTCACATAGACAAGAGTTGAATAATCGTAAGACGAGCTCGTCCGTTTCGAGTCTTCCTGTTGCTCGAGCACCAGCTTGAGAGACTCAATGCTGACATCGTGATCCGGATATGACTCCATCGGCGGGTTGTATAGGCTGTCGAACAAGCCCCAGGCCAAAGTCGCGCAATATGCTTCTAGAAGCCCACCGGCACGGTCCATGTATGGGCCCGAGAGGACGCCGGCAGGGGCGATCTGACGAACGGTGGCGATGACCTGCAGTACGGGGACGAAGTCTCCAAAAAGCTCCGTAACCTCGGCCACTGTTGCACAGTACGCACCGCTAGCTTTCAGAGCGCCGTTGCCTGTAGGGCCGGCATGCGCCTCCGACATGCTGCTTGCGAGATGCATCGGCATTGTGTTCGCAATTCTCTTGCGACTCCAGTCGGGGACCCACGTTGGCATTGTCTTTCGTGCTGCAATGATTTCGCATGACGCTAGAATATTGGTATTCTTTGACTGCTGGATATAGCGAAGAACCGTATCTTGGTAGACCTGGCTCGTGGTGAGATCATAGTTTGGGATCAACCCCATGTTGTCGACGTCAGAGGCCAGGTTCATGACAGCATAGACTCGATCTCGTGGGTCAGAGCAGCTGAACTTGCGGCCTTGATCGAGCAGATCAGGAAGGGTGTAGTCTTTCTCAGGCTGACAAAGAAGTAACACCATCTCATATCGACGCGCGAATCGCAGTTCGGGGGAGCTCTCCTCGTTCAAATCCAAAAAGTGGCGTGGCTTGTTGGCTATGACGGCGAGCGCAGTGCGCAGCATTTCCCAGCTGATCGACTTGTTGCCGCAGACAACAATGGCAGTTTGAGGATCGGCGGCGGCGATTTCCTGTCGAATCCAGACGCGGCCGAACCAGGCGCGGTGAACAAGCTGATAGATGGCCCACAGTTCGTCTTGCTCGTAGGGAAGATACTCGGTGGGATCAGCCCAGGTCGGCTCGATGGCGCCAGCACCAGTGGGGCGCATCCTGGTGTTCTCAAAGTCGAACTCGACCATCCAGGCCAGCTCGTCGAGGAGGCCGATGGCAATGTTGCTATCATTGGCCTCATGGCCCAGCCAGACGACGACACGCTCGGCAGCTCTGTAAATCTCGGTCATGAGGGCGACCTGGGCGGCCTTTTCAGCGTGATCGTCTTGTCTGACGGAGATGAAGTCGATCCAGAGAGTGCGCGCTGTGTCTTTCTTG